CCTCCTCCTATTTTCCCCACAACAACAATCCGGTGAGGTGAGGTGAGGTGAGCTGAGCTAGAGGGACTAGCCCAAAGTCACCCAGCCGGCTTTCATGCCTCAGGCGGGACTAGAATTCATGGTCTCCTGCTTTCTAGCCTAGTGCCTTCACCACTAGACCAAACTGGCTCTTGTTTTGCAGATAATAGGCTATTGGCAATTTATAATGCTGGCTGGGGAATTCTGGGAGGGGAAGTCCACACATCTTCATGTTGCCAAGGTTGAGAAACACTGATTCAGTCCAAAGCATGTTAACGTAAGCTGTATGCCGTGGAAAGGTCTATTAACTGAATTCTGCTTTTGAAAACTGCATACTAACAGGGTTCAGGGAATTGATTTATTGGAAAGTGAACTCCACCAACTGCAAGGTTATTTCCAGGTCAATTTGTTCAGCAGTGCGGCTCATGCAGGACGGAGTTTAGCAGACTCAGCCCTACGTGAGAAGTGCCTGCTGAATCTAGGGCATCTCTTTTCCTTCTGTTTTACCTGGTCTCCCTCTTGGTTTTGGTACATCCAACACCTTTTTTCCTAAATCCTAGGCCTCTGGAAAGTACTGTTTATATATAGACCAAATAGACATCTGCAGTCAGAATAAAGTTTGCAACTCACAAACACCCAAGTAGACTTGTACATTCTACGTCATGTATCCCAAGCACAATGTTAATACTTTTTAAGAAACAGAATTAATGTGGGCCTTCAAGCTGCCGAAAGTAAGTGGTTACTATAGAAGCGGTAGGTCTTGTACATGCGTAAAAAACAGAAACATTTAAAGAACAGAACCTTACTTAAAATTCAGTTTAGGTTTATAGTGATTTACACTTGCTCCTTTAATTGGTATGTAGAATGCCACCATCTTTACAGCTATTGGTATTTCAATAGATGTTTAAGTGTTTAAAGTTTAATAAGCTCCCATTCCTAGAACAAAAAAATGGGTGTAATTAAAATTTCAATTACTGTAAGGGATTTTTGGTCCATACAATTAATAAAAGCTTAAGGCATTTAAACAGGAGCTAGTTGTAAATGCTAAAAGTGCTTCCCTAATTAGCTTGAATGCTTACAGAGCACATTATTCATTTCTTAAAATGCCACACATTGTTTTCTTTGCAGCTGCCAGAAGATGAATTAGCGTGCCATCAAGATTTAATAATACAATCAGATAATTCCTTGAGGTTCTTTTTTCTTCCCCTCTTAAAAGGTGCTGATATTGTTCTGTCAATTTTAATGGTCCAGGCCTAGTTTGTTCAGCATTTATCATGGTCTTTGAACAATCTGGTGCCTCTCTTCCATCTTCAAAAAGGCACATGAGTCCCATTAAAAATCTGATTAGTGAGTCTAAATGAAAATAAAGTGTTGAATGCATATGTGTCAAACCATTCAGTAGAACGTTATTACAATATTCTCTAAAAGCCACCTTCTCTAATGGGGCACCCTTCAGAGGTAGTAGATGACAGCTCCCATCATTCAATAGCCAGTTGGCCATGGTTGAGGGTGATGGAATATGTAATTGGCACACCTGATGGGTGTCAAATTGGGAAAGGAAAACCTAAGAGTTTGCCAACTCGTATTTTGCTTAGGATCACACAGTTAAGTGGATACAATGCATGGAAGATGTATCAAGTATGCATTTCTTTTCTCTATTTCCCTTCAGCCAACATGCAGAATCCATGGCAATTCTGCAGGACAATCTGGAAAATGCTTAGCAATTGACAGCACTGTCCAGTCAAGGTGCATAAGTTCTCCAAGGGGAGACCAGGTGCCCTGAGTTTGATCTACCTGTACACTACCTGACTGATGTTCTGCAGAAGCGGATATTCTTCCGTCTTCCTTGAAGACTAAGGCTCAAACAATCCAACCATTTTTCTATTTTTATATAAACCCCAGGGAACCCAACCTATTTTGACTGATCTCACTAAAAATCCCTGTTATGTATTGCAAGAAGTTCTGAGACACCTTTCTTGACCAGTGGTGGAGGCCTATGACTTCCCCAAAACCTTATGTGCAAATGTCTTGAAAGTTACTGGAAGATAGTATGAAATATGCAACCTTGTTGATTGTACTACTTTAAATTTTAAATAATTCACATTTCACTTTATGTGGTAACTGTACTTATATTTTTGTAGTGCAGCCCCTGCCAAGTGTGGTTCTCAGCTTGAAGGATGCTGTGTACTGTCCTAGAGTGAGAAATCATTTGCATAGATGAGTACTACCGTGAGTATTGGTCTAAAGCCAAAAGTAACTATAGCCCAAGAACGTGGACTCATTCTAAGAAAAGGCCAGCAGTAGAGATGTATAGAACATTGCAAGGCCAAAACATATGGACCCCAAAACATCTCTTACTGAATGTGATCTGACTACAAAATAGAGGTTGGAACAGTCCATTTGAAAGTCAAACCACTTCTGGTAAGTTTGAAATGGTCTGTTTCAATCTTGGAACGCTCCCAAGACTGAAATATTTTGCACGCTTCCAGTGGAAAGTAAGGAGACTTTCCAGGAAATTTACCCACTATTATTCATCTTCTCCCCAAGGAATCCAGGGTAAACACATGGAAAAAGCTTATTGAGAAGTGTTTTAGTTCATCATCCAACTGACAGCAGTTCTACCAAGTCAGCACTTAGGGTCTTTCCCAGCACTGCCCCCAGATCCTTGTAACTGGCCATGTAAGGAACTCAGCTTTGAACCTTCTGCTTGGAAAACATATGCCCAATAATGAGTTCCTTGGGACTGTAACTTGAAAATGGCCATATGAAGATACACAGTCTGTTTACTCAGCCTCCAAAAAAAGAATATTTTCCTGGCCATACATGCCTGCAGCTGCTATAGTCTTTCCCCATCTACTCTTCCCGAGTTAAGACTTCAATTCTTAGAATGTATGTAGTAGGAGGGTAGAAGGTTGGTGACTTACTGTGCAAACATGTCTGGAGACCATGGGGTGGAGAAGGCTATAATTAAGCTTCAGAAAAAAGAGATTCTCTAATAAGCCATAGTGTGGTTTTGTAAGTAGCAGTGCATAATTGTGATGCCAGCTATCAAGAACTTTCTCCACAGTGAAAATGAACCCCTCTTCTGCCAGTCCTTTAGAATTTATTCCCACCCCTCAGCAATCCTAGCACATTTGCCAGGATGTCAGTCCCATTGAGCTCAGAGAGACTTGGACAGAATTTCATAAAAAAATAGCAACACCCACACACTTGCATAGCTATGAGCTGGGGAATAAACGATAACTGATTACGTTTACACAATTTGCTATATGAAAATGAAGCCAACCATGTTATGACTTGTATATTATGTGCACCCAAAGGTATATACAAAACTCTCTCAGCTTTTTATTATTTTTTAAATTTTATATTATTATTTTATTTTTATTATTCAATGAAAAGCTGCTTCTGGAAACTACAGTGGAAGGGAAAAAAAAAAAAGAAACTGAAAGGGTAAGATAAAACATGCAAATGTTTCCTTATTCCTAGAGTTTGCTGCACTCAGAAATCAGGCCTTCCGTACAATTTCTTTTCCCACTTCTCTACTGGTGACAGGCCATGCTGACTCAATGAAGACAATTTAAAAATACATTAAAAGCAAAATATACCACAGATAAGATTGGAAACCTGACTTCTATTTTATATAATTATTCTTATTTTGCCTAGAAATCCATCCATTTTATTTGGGAGTAGTATAATGAAAAATAGCATGGATTATGTTTATGTAAGGTGCATGTCATGGAACAAATAAACCTAATAACCCAAATGGAGACTGCACCCCTCCCCCCGCTTTTGGATATGACCAAGTTCAAACCGAGTTCCTCTCTTTGCCTAATCCCATCCAACTTGACCCTCCCTGCCCCCAGACCAAGCCCTCTGCAATCCTATCTAGACCAAAAAATAGGAGCCTCCCCACCAGCTCCCAGCCCAGCCAAAGGGCAGCCCTTACAAGGGAACTGCAACCTAGAGAAACCCCAACCTTCTATCTTCCTATCAGCTGATGGCCTCAACATGCCATCTCCTTAACTTGCCTTAATTTTCCCAGCTCTGCTGCCCTCCTGAAAGGCTCATTTTGGCTGACAACAGAAATAATCCCAGGTACACGGACAAGGACCTGCTTAGCTCCCCCAAACTGGCCAGCCAAACAGATCCCTAGATTTCCCGCTTTGTAGCCCTCAACTTCTATAAAAATCTTTGCTTTTCCATCGTTTGGGATCCCTCTTTCTTGTAAAGCAGGCATCCAATGATCGTTGCAATAAACATGGTTCTTCTCAGTGGTTCTTGTGCTCCTTACTTTGGCCAAAAAAATAAAATAAAAAAATCCACAGCAGTGCACAGAAGTGGGCTTGAATGGGGATCACAGGATTATACTAAGGTAAAGAAATTGAACACATAAAGCGGCCTTATGCTGAACTTAATCATCTAATTTATTTCCCTCATTGCTGAGTTGTCCGGCCTTTTACAATCACCTACCAGTTATACACTATTTGGACTACAACTCCCAGAATCCCCACGCAATACGGCAAAGAGCGGGCCGGTGGAGCATTTTGGGAATTGTTCTAATGCAGCTTGAGGTCACCAGATTGCAGAAGGCTGCATCCTACTCCAAAGGAAAGGGCAGCGGTTCAGCCATCGGGCACACAGATCTCATTTATTCCATTGCGTTATAGAGGCACAATTCTGCTTTTCAAGCCAAAGTCTTTGCAAAGGGGCTTAATATGTGGTAACAAGACAGCAGCACTAAACTTAGAGCAAAAACGTTATGAGGCACCGCTAGATAGGGAGCTGGGTTTGGGTTGCTAAGAAACAGACAAGCGAAAGCGGCAACTGAGAGGCCCCTCGAAGGAACGCTGAAGCAGAGTCTGGGCCAGCAGAAACCGCGATTTGCTTGCGCGGCAGGGGGCGCTGGACAAACAGGGCGACCGAACTCGCGCTATCCTCTTCTGATGTCGAGAAACCCGGGCATGCGCCGGCTCAGAAAGGAAAGCTAAGCGAATCCACTTCGGAAGGGAAGTCAGCGCTCGAGGCCTCCGCCCGGGCCAACGGCCGACGGAACTCCGATCCGCGGCGTCTGCCGCGCTGGCCTGAGCAAGCAACGAACTCCGGGGAGGGGGCGCTCCCCGCACCCCGCGCGCGGAAGCCGC